TAACTTTGAGGTCGTGGGATCGAGTCCCACGGAAGACATTTCATAATTCGGAGGTCTCTTACGGAAACTGCTCTCAACCTAGTGTTGGGGCAGTCTACTATCTTACCTCCCCTTACCCCATACATATGGGAAAAAGGGACAGCCATTTATAAGAATGCAAAGCCAACTCTGAATTCATTGATTTTGATTAAATAATTTAAGTATTAAATCTTTAGTTTTAGTCATTAAAGGATAATTTTAAGCCATCTAAAGTGTTAGTAAAATAGTATTTACTTAATAGAAGTTTAGGTAAAGTACACAAATGATCATCTGATTATAGGATACTGTTTGTTGAGTCTCTCGATTGTTAAATCTCCCGATTATAGGGAGTTGCTTTGTTGAGTCCCTTGACTATTAAAAGTTACAAAATAGTCATTTGACTATTCATTATGTTCCAAACTCGTCCTTTTTTTGTTAAAAAATTAATGATATTCTGAGTTGGGCGTTAATCTGCTGAGTGAGATATAATAAAATATGATCTCATAATCCCAAATGATTATGATATCTCAGTCAACATGCTATCGTCTAGCTTAGACGACCGTTAACTTTTTAACAGAAAATGACGAGTTTGGAACATAATGAATAGTTGAGTGATCATTTTGTAACTTTTAATAGTCGAGGGACTCAACAAAGCAACTCACAATAGTCGGGGACCATTTTGTAACTTTTAATAGTTAGAGGATTCAATAAAGTATTATCTTATAGTTGGGGGACAATTTGTGTACTTTACCCTAGCTTTTTTTAAAAGTTGTTATGATCAAAACACTTAAAATAGTAACATTTATAACGTTAGGTATCTGAATTGACCGAAAAATAGTTTAGGTAGCTAAATGAAAAATGATATAATTTAGACACTTACTTTTATATTAAGCCTTTAAAATTTTATCTGATCAAAGTTAATTTTTATATAAATTTAAAATTCAAATTCATAAAATATTTGAAAACTTTTATTTAGATTTTTTCTTGACAATTTAGATGATTTGCCTCTAGTTTTTAACTATAAAAGGATGATCTCTCCTTATTTTTAATCATTAATTCTTTTCCCATCTTCTATATTTATTTTCACGAACAATTTACTTTCGAGCAAAAAAAAATTAATTTAATTTTTCAAATGTATTTGCTCTGGTTAAATGCATTACTTTAACATGTATTTACTCTGTATTTACTGTTCTTGTTTATTGTTTCATTTTGGGAAAGCATTTTACCCTTGAAGTCGTTGTTTTATTTAATTTAATTTTTTCCTTTTTACACTAGTTTTTTAATAATTTATTTTTGAATGATATAATAGTATGGAATTAGATATTAAATTTGACCGTCAGCTTGGAAGGTCTTGCTTACTAGTTGGCGAGTAACATCGATGGATTGAGGGAGACGGACAAGAACAGTTATCTTTCTTAAAACTTTTAAACTTTTTATATTTTTATTAAATGATATAATAGTGTTCAAACTGCATTATTTTATATTATTTTCCCTCGTCTGAATTTAGATTCGGTTCTAATTCCAATAATGTTATTACTAGGACTAGGATGGATATTAAAACTAGTTGTGTGAGATAAGTTTGTTGACTTGTAATAGTTTGTCCTCGTTCTTAATTAGAGGTGTTAAATGTGTTGTTCGGATTAAGTTTGAATAAGTCTATATTCAATTCAAGCTAATTCGGATTGAATCTAATCTAATTCAAATTTAGTTTGAGTTTATGATAACTCGGGTTGGATCAGATATCAGATCAAGTTAATTTTGGGTCGGGTCGGTAAATTTTTGATTCAGATCAATATCAAATCAGTTAATTTTTTTTACCGGGTTAATATTAGATAGATTCATTTTTGAGTAGTATCAATACCAAATTGGTTGATTTTCTAGTCGGTAAAACCTTAGATCCTTGGGTCAATTCGGGTTAATACGAGTTTGATCGGATATATATAATTATTGTAAAAAAACATGTATTTTGTTTTTAAATTTGATCATTTAGGCTCAATTTCATTTGAGTTCAATCATCGTTTAGCGATGATATGTTAGAGTTTACAACTTTTTTTCTTCTACTGATTCGATTTGAAATTTTTACAACGTGATTTATTTGGTAATAAAATATTATTACTAATTAAAATTTTCAACTAAATTTTTATTGTTTAATTATAAACATAATATTTTTATTGAATTTGAACAAAAATAATAAATTAATTATATTTGAATGAATTTTGGTTTAAACAATTTTATAAATAATATTATATTATTAATAATATTTTAATTTCAAATTATAAATTAAAAATGATCATTTTGACTCAATTATTGGGGTAAAATAGGGTAAATATTCGGTTCAAATTAGATTTGGGTTGTTTTTAGTTCGGGTCAATTTCAATTTGAATTAGTTTCAATTCGAGTTATTTTTAATTCGAGTTACTTTTGATTTGAATTATTTTTGGTTCAGATTGCTTTTGGGCCAGTTAAAATTTGGACCGACTTCGGTTCGAGTTTTAGATCAAGTTCAAATTATTATGTTCTGGTCTATATTGAATTTCGGATCAAATAAATCAATTCGTATAATTGAGTTTGAGTCAAGTTTATCATGTGCATTCCTAATCATTCTTTTATGCTTTCATTTTTAGTTTTGATTTTTTATTTTATTTTAATAAATATATTTTTTTATATTTTTTCACAAAATTTTAAAAGAAATTATACTTTTTTAAAAAATTAACTTTTCAAAAAATTAAAAATAAATAATAATTCTTATATAATATTTATAAGTTATTTTCATTCTTTAAAATGTAAAACATTTATTCTTTTAGTATAAAAATAAAAATGAATTATAGATTGAATTCAATTCATTCAGTTAATCATAATATTTTAAGTTATATCTCAAATATTTTATTCAATTAATCATAAAAATGATTTTCTCAAATATTCTATATGTTTCGACCCACCTATTAGATCCACAAACTGCAATCACTTTGGGGGGTATTATTGGGCCTTCGAAAATGTTTCTGGAACCCATTTTGGATTACTATTTGAGTGTTGGTCTAGCTCATACATTGGTTCATGGGGCAGGTAATGTAAATAGGAGTGAACGAAATTCGATTCAACTTGAGAAATCAATTTTTTAAAATTTTATTCAAAAAATTTCAAATTTCAGTTGATTTATAAAATAAAACTCGAATAATTGGATTTTTTGTAATTAGTGGATTAGTTTTCAAATTTGATTTGAGTTACTTAATTCTGCATGATATATGTATATCACATATGAAGAAACATATATGTATTGTTATATAAAACCATTTAAATTGGAATCAAATAGTACCATAAAACTATAAATATTTAAAGTTAAATATAATAGAAACTTTAACAACCCAATTCGACTCGAACCGACTCCAAAAATTTCAAATAAAGTTTGAGTTATAAAATAGAACTTGTCAATTCGAATAACTCAAAATTTTCCTGACTCAACTCAAAAAAATTCAAATAAAATTTTTAATGACATCTTAGATATACCACTCATTTAAAATCTTATTAGTGATGATTTTTCAAATGTTTTTTTATTTATTTATCAAACTTGTGTGTTCTATATATTTATATTTATACATACATTTAAGGTTATTTTGATTAATAAATGTTTTAATATGTATATGCATATTTAAGATCTTTTTTACCGTTAAAAATAATTTTTCGTTGATCATGTCAAAGTTATTGTTAATAAGATAATAATATATGCTGGCCACGTAAAAGAGATTAAAATATTTTTTTGGGTTTAAATTTGATTTTAATATATTAGCTATGAAATTCAATTGAATTGAAAAAATTGTAAAGAACATGTTAAAATTCAAGACCTTTTTGTCGTTAAAAAAATAATTTTTAATTGACCATGTTATAATTGAGTACTAATAAGAGAATCATATATGCCAAAGAATTTGTGGGTTTAAATTTTACTTTTAATATATTAATTTTGAAATACATATTAAAGTAGGAAATTGTAAAATTCTTGTGGTCAATTCATAATATTTGGAAGTTTTTGCCATTAATTCGAACTCTAGACTAATCAAGTACTAAACTTCAAATTTCACCCTTTTGGCTTATGTTTCAAAAAATTTAAATCAGTTTCCAAAACTTCAGCGAAGCCATCAAGTCAATTTAACCTTTTGAACTTTAATTCACCATAACCTATTTTAAATAAATATTATTTAACAAGCCTAAATACTTATATTATATATATATATATATATATATTATGGCAACTGGCTAGGTTTTCAAAGATAAAACCCTAGCTGTCGTTTGCTTTATCAGTAGCACTAGAACTCCTCCATTCTTGAGTAGCAACCATTGTTTTTTTAATCGGCCAACCATAACTCGTCCTCCTAAAGCCTTCTTTTTTCTCTACTCTCCTTTTCCTTATCTACCAACTAGTGCTCATCCTCTGGTCATCCAACTTTATCATCGTCCATCTCTCATCGCTCGATCACTAGAGCCATCACCTTCCCCCGTTCGACCAACCACTATTCAACAAAACATCGCAAACCCCTTGAACATCCTTCACCCTGCACCACCCCAGTGAATATCCTCCAACCTTGTCCAAGGCCACCAAGGTGTCATGGACATAACTTCTCGATCCTGTTGTTATGCCGTGCGGCACTTGAATGGGACAACTCCCAGACAAGTCAGCCTTTCCCATCATAGATCCATGCCTCGAATTAACTCGTCATCAAGCCAAGTCGTAATGGCTAACAATCACCCCTCAGTTCGCTAGGCGATCCCACAACATCGTGTCCGAACAAACAAGCCACACATTAGTCTCTTGCCATAACATAATTCCAAAGCCACAAGTAGTCTAGGAGGGGAGATCTCGCGGGGCATAGCGAATGCTAGTTGACAACCCCTCTCCTCAACCAAGAGCGTGATATGGGGCCCACTTCCCCCAAACCATCCCTAGGTTGATCCTAGAGAGACACCGTACCATCCACTTGGTCCCGATGCCCGCACACCTAGGTTCCTCATGAACCTAGGAGAAGGTCGCTTACACCATGGTAGCTCCACATGCTAGCTCAGGGTGAGGGGGATGGTGGAGACCTAACACCAGATCACTTCCCCCTAAAGAGCTAAATAAACTTACCAGCCATGACACCAGTACACGTTGGAATGTTTGAATTGAGGCCATTACCTTGACAGGCCCTTATTCTTCATTCTTCAAGCTTTTCTTGTGTCCCAGTTACAACCTACTCGGCCCACCATTGGGTTACGGTCGAGGTAATCTCATGGAAATGAGATGTCCACGACATTCTCCCCCACTCACTTTGGTCGATGTCCTCATCGACACTAAAACCATATCTAGTTAACTTGTTGCATAGAGTTGACCCTTCTCATGAGTCCATCTCTTGCCCTCAATAACTAAGATCATGATTCGTTCCACGGGACACTAAACTCAAAGCTTTGGGTAGAGGAAACCCACCTACCTCTATTTTTCTCTCATTGCCATTGAGCTTGTTCTCTCTAAGGATATAACCTTGAGGAGCCATTGGTTACGTCTAACATGTTGAACACCATCACATATTCTAAACCATATGACATATCACTTGTTGTGTTACCCTTTTACTTACCTATCACTTTGTGGCATCTTAATTAATGTGTCACACATGACAGGATCCAGGTAATCAATCACGAGGTACCATATTAGCTCAAAACATATGGGCATTCAATTATGTTAGACATGTCCCAACTCAAGTCCTCTCGGTCCTTTGTAAACGCTATGCCTAAACTTTGTTCACCTGGCTCACGATTGCTCACTTGCAACATCCTAGACAAAGGATAAAGGCTCACCCACTTCCTCAACAAAGGATAATGGCTCCCCCACTTTTATTCTTGTTCGAACCCTACTTAATAGTAACGATATACCTGCTCAAACACTAAAACACCACACCACCACTAGTAAACACATTTGTTAGCCCAATAATTATAATACGACTTCCAATACACCATTTCAAAAAACATTAGCTAATAAATATAACACAAATCTACATACCTTATCTCAAGATACCAAAGTACCTTAAGTTTATCATTCTCTATTATTGCCACTTATTGACATCATGCCAAGTGATTTACCTGGTCCAAACCATTCTTTTCAAATTTGTATCTTGCTCCTCCATCTTCTCCCCCACACATTCTCACGACTTGTACACTCAATGCACCCATGCATGCCTCGATCTTTGCATTCTTCTTAAACAATCGGATACACTTCTGATCCCTTCCAGGAAAGTGCTAAACATCATTACATCATCCAAGTAGATGACTACGAACTTGTCAAGGCAGCCATGGAACACCGAGTCACACAAGTCAGTTCTGGTTGATCCCCTTAGGCCATCATCACCTGATGGTATTCTGATATGAGAAAACTTTGTGGAATACTTGGTACTATTCCGCTAGTCAAATAAATCATGTTTCCTTTTGGATAACACTGATGCCCGAAAGACAACTTCGAGGGTCGAAAGAAATCTAGCTTGAAGGAACCCATCCCACTACTTTTCTAACTTAGTCAGCTCTTGTAGTACACACCGAGAAAGGCCACTTTGCATGAGGTTGTACTTCCGTGATTAACTCATTCTCATGGTCCACTGCCAGAAATGACATCCTCCTCGGAAACTAGAAAGGTTAAGAATAAAGGCTCCCCTTCTTCCCTCTTTTATCAAACTGGATAGCTGATAGTACTTTATTCCCGGGACACATATAATAATCGTAGTGGCCAAAAACACGGTTGTTTCCCCATGCATAAAATAATTTGACGCAGAAAGAGAAATCACCAGGAATGCTATCATGCTTCATGGAATTTTCCCTACAACCAATATAATGTTAGGTAATATTCTATTGACACAATTACCTCTTTGGACCTTTTCCCCCGAACTCAGCGTATTAGCCATATAAATGGCCTGTCAGCTAGTGATCCATTTGATCCTAGCCAACATCCAACCTTTGACAATTCGATGATTTTCTCAGAACCCAGTGAGCATCAATGTTCTCAAAAGAATAACCATCCTACAAAAAATACAGAAATTAGGCATCACATTGCCATAAGGAATAAGAATCGATGAATATAGATTAAAATCAACATCCCTTGAACAATCAATACCGAACACCTTGTACGAACATCTAACGAGCACCTCCGTGCCAAAATAAGATTGGCTCTTATGTAGATATCACACAAGTATCTTTGTGCTAAAGAACATGCACCCATGTGATAGTAATACAGTGACGCAGTCTTATGCGAGCTTCACAAATTGAGCCTCTCTGTACAATACCAAGTTGTTTCACCATTCCTGCTCCATACGTTAGAGGGCTTAGGGTAAGATCAGGTCATCCTTCCTCCTCCCATGTGGAAGCGCTCGACAAGAACTCTATCTACTGGCCTACTCTTAACGTTAAGGTACATAACGTGAATCATAAAAAGAAATGAGGAACACACACTATACAAAAACATCCATTCCCTCTCTGGCATTTTCTCAAGCTACTCAACCGGGACTGTAAGGCAAATATGAATCACATGGAATACATTAGAACCAGCTCAGTTCGACTATCTTCAGTTAGAGCGTTCACTTGCAGACCGTCCCTTATTGATGCCACCATGGCATTAAAAGCACTTTATGGTGGACACTCTACAGATCGCTGAGGCCCATTTACAAAGAAACCACCTTAATGAGGGTCTGCTCCCTCCCTTGCTCGAACCAAAACCAGCGGGACTCTATTTTGGAGTTGGTTCCCTTCTAAGGAAACTATTATTCGCTCCACTCGTATAAGGCACCTTACGCTTTTCACGATGATCATTGTAATCATTACGGAACCCAGCAAGAACTATTGCTACTTTCACATCTCGTACCTTCTAGGTTTGCAATTGAAGCCTCACTCACGGCTTAGGCCCTTTAAGGAAATGAAAGAATTTATCCTTTTCAGACATGTCCTTGATATCTAGCACCAGGGTTGAGAACTCTCTCCCATTCTCCCGTAGGGTCCTGTATGAGTCACTTTCCTCCACCTCTTACGAGCGTCATAGTCTACATTCCCAGGGAGAACGAAACACATTAAACTCCCTTTTTTTTCACGCATGCCAAGTCTTAATGGAGCATACTCCATCTTCAAATTTGGCCCGCCACCATCACAAGTGTCAACTGATATATATGTATCGACAATCACCACCTTATATTCCTTAGACTCGGTGCGTATTGCTCGAAAATACTGTTCCATACCCATCATAAAATTTTCAAGCTAGCATCTTTTACCCCATGAATTGTTGGGGATCAGGGATCTTTTCTCGTACGCCCATATTTCACAAGGTTCGCAGTCAAACAAGCTATAGCTGCTTAAAGCCCGCCTTAACTTGAGCTTTCAGCTCCTCAAACACAAACTAAATAACACGTATGGCATTCTCGCCTCGTTCCCTGATCCAATCAGTGACTCCACTAATCCCTCTTGAGTCTCCTCGACTCTCATTATTTGATCACCATATATCATATGAGTCATACCGACCGCTCATTTGGCTTTCGAAACCCGTATAACTCGTCTCATGTATGACAGGAATTATAACTCATTGCTTCTCACATCTGTGAGAGCTTGTTGACCCATCATTACACATACGAACCATTTGCACTAGTTCGTAAACACCTCTATACCTGTACCACAAATGAAGCACTATCATACCTGAAAAAAAGGAGAAGAGTCACTAGCACGGCTTCGATCTCTTCTAGCTTTTGTCCCTCAACAGAACCAGGTTTCTTGTACAAACGACTCGGTTGCTTTTTGCCCTACACCTCTGTGAGAGCCTGTTGATCCACCATAAATGTGCGAACCATTCTCTTTAATTCGTTAGCACTTCTAGGCATACAACACAAATAAGCACTATCGTGCCCAAATTAGAAAGGAAAAGAGCACCGCTGTGCTGAATTCAAGCACATCAGTGCAAGAATTAGCAATTGAGCACCTCTGTGCATCAATCAAAAGCTGACACCTCTATGTAGCTAAAACGAATTGAGCACCTCTGTGCTTCAACCGAGAACTGACACCTCTGTGCAATTAAAAATGACTGAGCACCTCTGTACTTCAGCGGAGAGCTGACACCTCTGTGTAGCTAAAACTGATTGAGCACCTCTGTGCTTCAATCAAGAACTGACACCTCTGTGCAGTTAAAAATGACTGAGCACCTCTGTACTTCAGCCAAGAGCTGACACCTCTGTGTAGCTAACATTGATTGAGCACCTCTGTGCTTCAATCTAGGATCTGACACCTCTATGCATTAAGATGATTGAGCAGCTCTGTGCATTAAGATGATTGAGCACCTCTGTGCTACAATATAAAATCAAGCACCTCTGTGCTTTTACAAGTGATCGAGCACCTCTGTACTGTAATCGACAACCAACCACCTCTATACTAAGTTTAGCAAAAGTGCACCGCTATGCAATAAGCAGGTCCAAGCATCAACATGCCTTAGTCCATGAGATGAGCACCTCTGTGCTTCAATCATTAAGCTGGCACTCCTGTGCATTTGCCAAACTATTTCACCCTGCCTACTCCACACATTAGAGCGCTTGGCATGAACATTGTCCACCTTGCCTACTCAACGTGTCGAAGCGCTTGGCGTGGAATAAAAAAGAAGAAACTCAAATCATCTGCCAAAACCAAACCGTTTTGGCTCTGATACCAAGTGTCACGGGCATAACGTCTCGATCCTGTTGTTATGCCGTGCGGCACTTGAATGGGACAACTCCCAGACAAGTCAACCTTTCCCATCATAGATCCATGCCTCGAATTAACTCGTCATCAAGCCAAGTTGCAATGGCTAATAATCACCCCTCAGTTCGCTAGGCGATCCCACAACATCCTGTCCGAACAAACAAGCCACACATTAGTCTCTTGCCATAAAATAATTCCAAAGCCACAAGTAGTCTAGGAGGGGAGATCCCGCGAGGCATAGCGAATGCTAGTTGACAACCCCTCTCCTCAACCAAGAGTGCGATATGGGGCTCACTGCCCCCAAACCGTCTCTAGGTTAATCCTAGAGAGACACCGTACCATCCACTTGGTCCCGATGCCCGTATACCTAGGTTCCTCATGAACCTAGGAGAAGGTCGCTTACACCATGGTAGCTCCACATGCTAGCTCAGGTGAGGGATGGTGGAGACCTAACACCAGATCACTTCCCCCTAAAGAGCTAAATAAACTTACCAGCCATGACACCAGTACACGTTGGAATGTTTGAATTGAGGCCATTACCTTGACATGCCCTCCTTCTTCATTCTTCAAGCTTTTTCTTGTGTCCCAGTTGCAACCTACTCGGCCCACATCGGGTTACGGTCGAGGTAATTTCATGGAAATGAGATGTCCACGACATGGCACCCAACAGTACCACTATGGTGCTCATCAACGTCTTGTTCCCAACATTCATCACCACCAGGTTCTCCATCAACCCCTTTCTTTTATTTTTTTCAATTTTATAACCCCTTGTTTCGTTGTTTTACAATGTTTAAAAAGAAATATTTGTCATTTCCCTTTCTATATTAATTTGCCTACCTTTTTCTTTGGTCTAATATAATTATGAAGTTCTCGTATCACAGGACATGTCAATGCAAAATCCAAAACAAGAGTTGGTTATTAAAGATTTGCTCAAAATGAGTGATGTTTTCAGCATGTCTTAGAGATTAATACTTACAATACCAATAATATTAGACTCAAATCTAAA